TGAAATTCCTTGTCCGGTAAGTTCCGGACCCGCACGAAAGGCGTAACGATCTGGGCACTGTCTCGGAGAGAGGCTCGGTGCTGAAATAACATGTCTGTGTGAAGCATGCGGCACTACCTGCACGCTGGACAGAAGAACCCTATTGAAGCCTTCTATGTTCCCTGGGATGGGCTTGGCTTTCCTGCGGCAGCTTAGGTGGAAGGCGAAGAAGGCCCCTTCCGGGGGGTCGAGCCATCAGTGAGATAACCACTCTGGAGAGCTTAGAATTCTAACCTGGTGGGTCAGGACCTAACGGGCCCAAGGGGACAGGTTCTGTCAGGTAACAGTTTCTATGGCGGGCGTAGCCTCCAAAGGTAACGGAGGCGTGCAAAGGTTTCTCGGCGCGGACGGAGATTGCCTCGTAGTTGCAAAGGAAAAGGGGGAGCTTGACTGCAGACCCACCCGTCGAGCAGGGGACGAAAGTTGGCCTTAGTGATCCGACGGGTTGCCGAGTGGTAAGGGCCGTCGCTCAACGGATAAAAGTTACTCTAGGGATAACAGGCTGATCTTCCCCAAGAGCTCACATTCGACGGGAAGGTTTGGCCACCTCGATGTCGGCTCTTTCGCCACTGCGCGGCTGTAGTTATGTTCCCAAGGGTTTGGGCTGTTCGCCCATTAAAGCGGTACGTGACTGGGTCAGAACGTCGTGAGACAGTTCGGTCCATATCCGGTGTGGGCGTGTAGAGCCATTGAGAGACCTTTCCCTAGTACGAGTGAGACCGGGAAGGAACGCACCTCTGGGGTATGTTACCAGTTATCGTGCCCAACGTAAACGCTGGGTAGCCAAGTGCGGAGCGAGATAACTGCTGAAAGCATCTAAGTAGGAAGCCCACCCCAAGATGAGCGCCTCTCCTATTCCGACTTCCCCAGAACCTTCGGTAGCTTAAGCACAGCCGGACAGCGACGGTTTCTCTGCCCTCGGGGATGTAGTGACAGAAGTTTGAGAATTCAAGAGAAGGTCGACGCGAGACAGCCGATTTATCACTTACGATAGGTGTCAAGTTGAGTGCAGTGATGTAGCAGCTGAGGCATCCAACCCAGACCGGTAGGACTTGAACCTTGTTTCCTACATTGACCCGATTCAATTCGATTAGGCACTCGCCATCTATATTGTCAGCTCTTTGACACAACCCAACATGAAAAAACCAAAGCTCTGCCTCCCTTCTCTATTCGATCCACAGGGATGGAAGGGCGGAGGGCCGTTGGTTGCCCCCTCCAGTCAAGATTGGGGCCTCAACAATACTAGCCAATATTGCTTTTCTCTCTGCCTTTTCTTCGTTCATGGTTCGATATTCTGGTGGTCGCTAGGCGTAGAGGAACCCACACCAAATCATCCGAACTTTGGTGGTTAAACTCTACTGCGTGAAGATACTGTAGGGAGGTCCTGCGGAAAAATTAAGCTCGGACGCAGGATGATAAAAAAGGGCTTAACACCCCTCATTCTTATTACTTTTTCCAATATGAAAAAAAAATGAAAAGGTCGTCTATTCAAAACCCCAATTATGGAAATCCCTTTTCTCCCACTTCACCACCTCGGAACGCACCGTTCTTTATAGAGAGAGAAGGGCGCTTTCGCATCTTTCTAACCCGAAATGGCTGGGGTGAGAGAAGGTTTTCCTTTTTTTAGGGTACTCCCGGAACAGATCAAGTGTGAGACGGGGTGGGGCCTGTAGCTCAGAGGATTAGAGCACGTGGCTACGAACCACGGTGTCGGGGGTCGAATCCCTCTTCGGCCCACAAACCGGCCAAAAAAGGGAAGGACCTTCCTTCTGGAGGTTTAGAAAATATGATCGGGAATTTAGCGGACCCAAAGCTATGGAACTGGCGTGTGGGTCTTTTTGTTCGAAAGAATGTCTCCTTTTCTTCTTTTTCTTTTTTTCTATTCTTATTTTTTTTCGTAAATGGTTTACTCTTTCCAGTATAGTATGCCCGGCCCGAATCTTTTTTGTTTTACCGCCCCTAACTCTTCCTCAGCCCAGGCTTGGGCAGAATAGCAGAGCAAGTCAAGTATAGTAAATTAGCAAAAAGGTGTTCTTCGTCATTAATATGGTTGCTCGCGGTATTTGTGGCCTCTCGGGAGAATCGTGACTGCATCTTTATGCACTTGCTAGTACTAGTACATCTGAAATTCTTTAATTGGGCTAGTTTTAAATAGCCCCGACTGTGTGAACCAAAGATTATACCGGACTTACCTTACACCGAGTTATTTTGACTGCGTGATTCTCAAATATCGCAGAACAGAATGTGATATTGATGATGATAGAATGCAATAAAAGAAAGACAACAGGGGGACGGGTTACCTACTCTTAACGTCAAAGCGACCCTTTCATTCCGATCTTTTAATTCGGAAATGAATCAAAATCTCCCCAAGTAGGATTCGAAACCTACGACCAGTCAGTTAACAGGCCGACCGCTCTTACCACTG